CCGTGGCAGCCGGACTGAGGTCGGGCAGTGTCATTCCCCCGCCCCCCTTATACTACTACCCTTCCCCCGCAGAATCAGTAACGATCTGTCGGACAATAACATCTTATAAGCTAATGAGGTCGTGCCACTCTCGGCGCATGCTGGAGCATCTATTGGCCTTGGCTCTCGCTGCTCTTTCACGGGAGTGCTGCGTATCTACAGGCGGAGAGATTCCCACATCCACGTTCAGACCGATCTCTCTCACTCTGGTTGACCCATCTATAGGCGGAGATTCCCACACCCACGTTCTGACCGATCCCTCTCACGTTGGTGGCCCCTCTTCAGTTGCAGCACCTCCGGCCACGAGCAAGAGGCCAGCCAGTTCAGGAACGGACCAGCCTTGGGCAATTCCCTCCCAGGCCAGGACGCTGAGTATCTCGACGCCCAGGTTGCGCGCGAGAATCTCGACTGCGCTCCTGATCCTCCGACTGTTTTTGCCGACCCCGCCCCTGGCTGCAGCCGGCGCTGACACGACTCCCCACGGTGCGTGTCCCAGTTCACCCGTGCACACCTGCATGAGATCAAGGTGTCCAAGGTGAAAGCCCACTTTGCAGTCCAGGAGGCTGCGGATGAATGGGATCGATACCTGAGACAGGGCAACTCCTGGGCCGACACTTCCGCCAAAGCTGCGGCTACCTTGCATCCTGCCCCGTCCGACGAGCTTAGCGAGGGTCTTGACAAATCCGTCGCCGTGGCCCGTGCTGTTGGGCGCCTGGGTGCCAAGTTGATGTCATTATGGCCCAAATTGTCCATGGACAAGAATGTAGAGTTAGTCAAGACACCTGCTCAAGAGCAGGCCCCAGCGCCGCCGCCGCACGAGTGACACTGGGTCGGTAACAACTGGCAATGTGCGGCCTGTCTTCGTGGGAAGCGAGGTAGTCCGAGCATGGAGCCGCTGGGAGGAGCTTGCTCCCTGTCGTTGCATGTCCAACCATCGGTGTTGCGTAGATTGGGACACCGGTGTGTTTTAATTGATTGTTCAGATGGGAGTTGTGTTTTTGTTTGCCACAAGTGCGGTTATCACACTTCAGGGGGTCGCCTTGATCGCTTGGGGAGGAAATGCGAGCCCCACAGAGTGGTCTCGCATAGCAACCCTTTGGGCCGTCAGCAGAGAGGTCTTCATCCTTCGTACAAAAAGCCTGGAGTTATCGTAGATGTGAACACGTTTTGCAAAGTCTAACCTCATCCTGCTTGTTGTCCAGTTCGCCTGCAGGTATGTAGTTTATTCCTCACGCTGACTCGCCATCTGTTTGAGGCACATGTGGCTGAAGGAGGATCGACCTCAAAAAATCCCCCTCCTCCTCCTCCTCCTCCTCCTTCTCCTCCTCCTCCTCCTCCTCCTCCTCCTCCTCCTCCTCCTCCTCCTCCTCCTCCTCCTCCCCCTCCTCCCCCTCCTCCCTCCTCTCTTACCGATGGCAGTGGTGGAAAAATCGGCCCATCCTTGGCCACGGGCGACAGACAACCTCGGCCCTCGAGCTTCGAACCTCGAAAGTCGTCGTCGTCGCCGTCTCCGCTGCCGTCGCCGTCGCCGTCGCCGTCGCCGTCGCCGTCGCCGTCGCCGTCGTCGCCGTCGCCGTCGCCGTCGCCGTCGTCGTCGTCGTCGTCGTCGTCGTCGTCGTCGTCGTCGTCGTCGTCGTCGTCGTCGTCGTCACTCGTCGTCGTCGTCGTCGTCGTCGTCGTCGTCGTCGTCGTCGTCGTCACTCGTCGTCGTCGTCGTCGTCACTCGTCGTCGTCGTCGTGTCGTCGTTGCCGTCGTCGTCGTCGTCGTCGTCGTCGTCGTCGTCGTCGTCGTCGTCACTCGTCGTCGTCGTCGTCGCCGTCGCAAGCGCGGGATGCCAGGAGCAGGGCGAGTCGTGCCTGGCGAGCCCGGTGGCCACGACCATCCTGCCGCTCCGCCCGGGGATGCGCCGCCGCCGCTGCCCAGGGTCGGGTCCCGGGACCAGGGACCGAGGTTCGAGGTTCGAGGTTCGAGGTTCGAGGTTCGAGTTTTTCGAGCGCCCCCGTGGCTTCTCGGCGGTTGTCCAGGGTCGGGGTGCTCTCCGGCGGCTGCGGCTCCGTCGAGTCCCAGGACCAGGGACCGAGGTTTCGAACGCTTTCGAGGTTTTCGAACGGTTTCGAAGCCGTTTTCGAGGTTTTCGAACGTTTTCGAGGTTTTTCGAGGTTTTCGAAGGGCTCGAGGTTCTCGAGCGTCCCCGTGGCCTCTCGGCGGTTTCCCAGCGCCGGGGTGCTCTCCGGCGGCTGGAGGCTCGTCGAGGGCTCTCGTGGGGTGCCCGGATGGCCCCCGAGCGGCAGCCGGAGGCCCGAGCTGCGGCCCGGAGGCCACCCGCATTCCCGGATCTCCGCCGATCGGATGGCGCCAAGCTGTGCCAGAGTTCCATAGGTTTTGGCTCCCGGGGCCCGGGATCGGGGCCCGAGGCCATCGAAAAGGGACCCGGGGCGAAGCACTTGCCCCAGGGAAGGGCTCGGGGCTCCTGGGGGCCGCAGCTTCGTTTTTTGTATCGTTCTTGTTGTTTGTTGTTGTTTTAATTTCTTGTTTTGGGTTTCACTGTTTTTTGCTGTTGAGCTTTTTACCCAACCAACTTGTGTTTTGGGTCCTCGTCTTGAAGAGACAGCGCCGCGCGTCCCTCCTACTCCTCCTCCTCCTCCCGCTGCCCCCCCTCCCTCTCCCCATCATCAGCATCACCGTCACCATCATCATCGTCGTCATCATCATCATCATCATCATCATCATCACTATAATCATCAGTTCGGCACACCCCTCACATGATTCGTGGCCCCACAGGAGCTCCACAGAAGGCCCCAGCGGGTGCGTCCGCATGCGTCACCGCCACCCATTAGGGCACACCCCTCACACGGTTCGTGGCCCCATAGGTAGCTCCACCGAAGGCCCCAATGGCTGCGTCCTCATGCGCCACCGCCACACAGTTCGGCACACCCTTCACATGGTTCGTGGCCCCATATGGAGCTCCACCGAACGCCCCAGTGGCTGCGTCCGCATGCGTCACCGCCACCCATTACGGGACACCCCTCACACGGTTCGTGGCCCCATAGGGAGCTCCACCGAAGGTCCCAGTGGCTGCGTCCGCATGCGTCACCGCCACCCACTACGGCACACACTTCACACGGTTTGTGGCCGACGAATTCGGACCCTGCCACTGGAGCCTTCGGTGGAGCTCCCTATCGGGCCACGAAACTCTGTCCTGGGTGGCGGTGATGCATGCGGACCCTCCCAATGGGGCCTTCGGCGGAACTCCCTGGCGCCACGAAGCGCTGTCCTGGGTGGCGACGCATGCGGACCCTGCCACTGGAGCCTTCGGTGGAGCTCCCAATGGGGCCACGAAGCGCTGTCCTGGGTGGCGACGCATGCGGACCCTGCCACTGGCGCTGTCCGTGGAGCTCCCTATGGGGCCACGAAACGCTGTCCTGGGTGGCGTGACGCCGCCGACGCATTGCGGACCCTGCCACTGGCCTTTTCGTGGAGCTCCCTATGGGGCCACGAAAGCGCTGTCTGGGTGGCGGTGGACGTGGCGGTGACGGACTGCCACCTGCCACTGAGCCTTCGGTGGGAGCTCCCAATGGGGCCACGAAACGCTGTCCTGGGTGGCGACGACCGCATGCGGACCCTGCCACTGGAGCCTTCGGTGGAGCTCCCCATGGGGCCACGAAACGCTGTCCTGGGTGGCGGTGACGCACGCGGACCCTGCCACTGGAGCCTTCGGTGGAACTCCCTATGGGGCTACGAAGCGCTGTCCTGGGTGGCGGTGACGCATGCGGACGCTGCCACTGGCGCTTTCGGTGGAGCTCCTTATGGGGCCACGAAACGCTGTCCTGGGTGGCGGTGACGCATGCGGACGCAGCCACCGGAGCCTTCGATGGAGCTCCCTATGGGGCCACGAAACGCTGTCCTGGGTGGCGGTGACGCATGCGGACCCTGCCACTGGAGCCTTCGATGGAGCTCCCTATGGGGCCACGAAGCGCTGTCGCTGGGTGGCGGTGACGCATGCGGGACCCTGCCACTGGAGCCTTCGGTGGAGCTCCCTGTGGGCCACGAAGCGCTGCCTCGGTGGGTGACGACGGCGGACCTGCCGCTGGAGCCTTCGTGGAGCTCCCTATGGGCCACTTAGCGCTGTCCTGGGTGGCGGTGGTGCATGCGACTCTGCCACTGGAGCCTTCGTGGAGCTCCCTATGGGGCCACGAAGCGCTGTCCTGGGTGGCGGTGACGCATGCGGCCCCTGCCACTGGAGCCTTCGGTGGAGCTCCTTATGGGGCCACGAAGCGCTGTCCTGGGTGGCGGTGACGCATGCGGACCCTGCCACTGGAGCCTTCGGTGGACTCTCTATGGGGCCACGAAGCGCTGTCCTGGGTGGCGGTGACGCATGCGGACCCTGCCACTGGAGCCTTGAGAGGAGCTTCCCAAAGGGGCCACGACGCGCTGTCCTGGGTGGCGGTGACGCATGCGGACCCTGCCACTGGAGCCTTCGGTGGAGCTCCCTATGGGGCCACGAAGCGCTGTCCTTGGTGGCGGTGACGCACGCGGACCCTGCCACTGGAGCCCGCGGGATTGCCCCAAAGGCTTCGCGATCAAGCCGTCGGCGAACGTGCGCGTGCTGGCCGAGGCGGCGAAGGCGCCGAGGTAAATCGACTTGCTGGCCCCGGCCAGGGGAGCAGGGGAGGTGCACGTGGAGAGGGGGTAGAATGGGGGCGAGGAGGGGGGATGAGGCGTACGGGGAGGGCGATGATGATGCTGATGATGATGGTGATGATGATGATGGTGATGATGATGATGGTGATGATGAGGAGGGGGAGGGGGAGGGGGAGGAGGAGGAGATGGCGGAGGAGGAGGACCATAGAAGGAGGAGGAGGAGGAGAGGGCAGAGCAGGGGGCGAGAGTAGGGTGCCCGCCCGTGCGAGTATGTGTGAGTATATTTGTGTATATATATACATATAGATTCAACCAACCGTTTTTCCCAACCATCCTGTGGTGTTGGGTCCTCGTTTTGAAGACGGTCCCCGCGTTCCTCCTCTCTTCCTCTTTCCCCTCCTCCTCCCTTTTTCCTCTTCCGTGCGTTTCACCCGCCCAGCACAGCGTTTCGTGGCCCCACCGGGAGCTCCACCGAAGCCCCCAGTGGGACCGCCCGCATGCGCCCGCCACCACCCAGCACAGCCCTTGCCCCCTGCGTTTCACCCACCCATTGCAGCGTTTCGTGGCCCCATAAAAGGGGGCTCCACCGAAGGTCCCAGTGGCACCGCGCGCATGCGTCCGCCACCATCCAGCATATGGGGCCGCCTGGGGGAGCTCTTGGACACCCCTTGGGGCCCTCTTGGGCCATCTTGGGGCCACCTTGAGGACCCACAAGCGCAGGGGAAGCGAGAAGGCGAGGCAGCATCAATCTTCGATATCCGTTTTTGTTTGTGACTGTTTTGTCTCGCCTGGTTTTCTGTGTACAGAAGTTGTGCTCTTGGGGGGGGTCCCGAGGGGTCTCCGAGAGCACCTGGTAACCGTCGTGCGGCCCTCCTGGGGCCTCTTGGAGGAATGTCGGAAATTGTCTTGAATCATCCAGGAGGCCCTTTGGGAGCACCGGAGGCCGGCTTGGAGCCCTATTGGGCCACCTGGGGCGCCCTGGCCGCACGCGCCCCCCCAAAGAAAAACACAGGGAGCGGAGGGGGAGGGTGCCCCTCCTTTGGAAAAGGAGGGAACAGCATCGTCAGACCGCCTACGCCCAGAGGGCTGGGCCGCAGTGCCATTCCATGCAATGGCACGCCATGCGATGCAATGTTACGTGCCGCCATGCGATGCCATGCCTTGCGCTGAAATGCTTTGATCTGTTATGCTTGGCTACGCAATGCTATGCCATGCTATGCATCGCGCGCCCTTTGGGGATCGTTGGCCTCCTCGACATCCTTCTGTGCTGATAGAGAGGGGCTCTACGCAAGGAGGGGTATAGAGATATGACGCGAGCGCACCTCGCTCGTCCTTCTCCCTCTCCCCCCCTCCCCCCCCATGTTCCCTCTCCCTGTCCCTCTTTCCCCCTCCCCTCCCCCCCCTCCGCCGGCCTCCCCCCCCCCCCTGCTTTCCAGCCTGGGGCCTCCCCCCCCCCCCACCTCCCCCCATCCAGCCTGCCTGGGCCTCCCCTCCCCCCCCGCCTGGGCCCCCTCCCCCTCTCCCCCTCCTCTCCCCCCCTCCCGCCTGGGCCTCCTCCTCCCCCCCGCCTGGCCTCCCCCCCCCTCCTCTCCCCCCCTCCGCTTGGGCCTCCTCCCCCTTCCGGCGACGGTGGCGGCGCCAGCCCTGCAGCCGCCCGAGCGCGCCCGAGCGGTGCAGAGAGGCCACCGCACACCCGCGGAGCACTCCTCCGCGCGCTCCGCCCGCGCGCCCGCGCGCCCAGCCTCGAACGGCGCCGCCGTCGTCGTCGTCCGTCGTCGTCCGCCGTCGTCGCCGTCGTCGTCGTCGTCGTCGTCGTCGTCGTCGTCGTCGTCGTCGTCGTCGTCGTCGTCGTCGTTGTCATCGTTAGTCGTCGTCCGTCGTCGTCCGTCGTCGTCGTCGTCGTCGTCGCCGTCGTCGTCGTCGTCGTCGTCGTCCGTCGTCGTCCCGTCGTCCGTCGTCGTCGTCGTCGTCGTCGTCGTCGTCGTCGTCGTCGTCGTCCGTCGTCGTCGTCGTCGTCGTCGTCGTCGTCGTCGTCGTCGTCGTCGTCATCGTTAGTCGTAGTCGTCGTCGTCGTCGTTGTCGTCGTCGTCGTCATCGTTAGTCGTCGTCGTCGTCGTCGTCGGCGGCGGCGGCGGCGGCGTCGTCGTCGTCGTCGTCGTTCGTCGTCATCGTCGTCGTCGTCGTCGTTCGTCGTTGTCCGTCGTCGTCGTCGTCGTCGTCGTCGTCGTCGTCGTCGTCATCGTTAGTCGTAGTCGTCGTCGTCGTCGTCGTCGTCGTCGGCGGCGGCGGCGGCGGCGTCGTCGTCGTCGTCGTCGTCGTCGTTCGTCGTCATCGTCGTCGTCGTCGTCGTCGTCGTCGTTGTCGTCTGTCGTTGCCACGCCTACGCGCCCCATCGCAGCTCTCCTCGCCGTGCCGTGGGCGTCCCGCGGCGTGCCAGGCCCCCCTCGATGCGGCTTCGGCTTCTGCTCAGGAGCCCACGCCTTGACTCGTCGTCGTCGTCGTTGTCGTCGTCGTCGTCGCCGCCGTCGTTGTGGTCGTCGTCCTCCTCCGCCTCCTCGTCATCGTCGTGGTCCTCGTCCTCCTCCTCCTCCTCCTCCTTCTCCTCGACCTCCTCGACCTCCTCCGGGCCCTCGGTCTCGTCGTCGTCTCGCCCTCGGCCTCGTCGCCGTATTCTTCTTCTTCTTCGCCTCCTTCTTTCTTCTTCTTCTTTGTCCTCTCCCTCTTCTTTTTCCTTAGTTTTATGATTCCTGTTTATCTTCTTCATTCTCATCTTCTTCTTCTGTTCCTTCTTTGTCATCGTCGTCGTCGTGGTCGTGGTCGTGGTCGTCGTCGTGGTCGTGGTCGTGGTCGTGGTCGTGGTCGCCGTCGTCGTCCTCGTCGTCGTCGACGTCGTCGTCGTCGTGGTCTGGGTGGGTCAAGGGGGCTCCAAGGGCTTCTGGAGGGTTTCTGCGAGGTCCCTGGAAGGAGGAGGATGAGGAGGCTGACGAAGAGGAGGAGGAGGAGGAGGAGGAGGTAGCGGACGAGAAGGAGGAGCAGGCGGAGGAGGAGGAGGAGAAAG